AGACTAATCTTCTGATATACATCTCATTCTGAACGGCCACGGCCACTAAGTATCCTTCCCTTGTAAGAGATTAAGGCAAATCTTTGCAAACTAATATACATCTGGCAAAATCCAAAACACCGCTCTTGATGTAACACCTTCTACTCTCAGGCATCATATCCGTCCATCAGTGGTGCGAATGCGTGCAAAAAGTCACTGGCCTGCATCTTCCGTGGCGAGCATTAGCCCCGAAGTTGGCTGCGATACATGAAGATGGAAAACACGTCTATTATCACAATAATCTATCTGTCGTACAGCTTGGAAAGGGTAAAAAACAGGTCGGTTACCGCTCATATTTCCTTTCTCCATCCATCATCACTCCTTAAGGAAGCAGTACAGCATATTGAGCTGTGTACGCGAAACACGAGTGTAAGTGAATATCAGTAGAAGTAGTGTGTTCTTGAGATAGAGTATGTACAGTGGTTCGATAGTTAGATAGCTTTGCAAAGGATTAGGCACCGCCAAATGCAATATGTCATAAGCAAAGGGCCATTATTCGAAGTGACACTTAAGTTTTAGGATCGAGACGTTGTCGAATCCCTTTATCGCCACAAAAGCACGTTAGAGACGTTGTTTCGATTCATGGATAAAGACAACTCAGGACAAGTTTCGATGCAGGAATTTATCGATGCTATTCAGGTGATACATACAACCGCAAACTTATTTTTCAGCTCTATCTCAAAAGTCGATTCTTTTTACTGTTGAAACTATCCCTCGACATATCGCATTTTCAAAAAGTGGTAATGCAAGAAATGTTGCCTATAACTTAGTGGATTAGTGGAAGTCGCGGAAAGTTTCCTCAGAGATTGGCAAAAAGGGATCCTAGCTGAGTGAAAACTGTTTAAATATTGGTATCTTGAGGAATCTCGAGAATTAAACGATAGATAATGAAAACACGTGTATAACATTGAATGTTCTCCAAGAAGCCGAGTCCCGTTGTTAGACCTCCCCCCCACCCCCCTTCCCCTCCAGCGAGAATTCTATGACTTCCTTTTTTGAACTAAAGTTTAACACTATCTCTCCAATTTTTTCAGGTGCTTGGAAAGTACACAAAACGGACTTTGTCACAAGATTACGTGGCTCAAATAGCCGAGAGCATCGACTTCAACAAGGACGGATTCATCGATCTCAACGAGCTGTTGGAGGCATTCCGAATAGTGGATCAACAGAACGGCATCTAGCATTACTCACCTTGCACAACGAGTCATTGGCTTCTTCTGCCGTTGACGGATTGTAGACGTACATACGCACCTTGCAATGATGAATGTCAGCCAGCCTCCAGGCAGAGATGAGCCATCTATTTTCGCTCAGTATGGCAGTACAGCTTCTCAACAGCATCAGAATGTCAAGAGCTAGCTACTGTTAAGGCCTGAAACCACCTCTTTCATAACATTCCATGTTTCTCTTCAGCTCCTGAAATCTCATTCCATGTACATCCAACACGAAGTCACTCTGTGTCTAATTTGGACTTCCAGAAAATGCCTTTGAGATTATATGTCTTGCCTAAT